AGGAGAATTGCTTGAACCCAGAAGGCAGAGGTTGCAGTCAGCTGGGATCGCACCACTGTACTCCAGCCTAGCAACAGAGTGAGACTGTCTTAAAAAAAAAAAAAAAAAGAAAAAAATATATATTTCTTTTAATATAAATATATTAGTGAAAGAAGCTAATCTAAATTGCTATATACTGTATAGTTTCAAAGATGACATTCAGAAAAATACAAAATTGTGACAGAGTAAAAAGACTTCTGATTGTCAAGAATTGGGGAGAAGAGGGAGGGATTAATGAATAGGGGAAGAATGAGATATTCAGGTGAGGGAAAGCATCCTAGATGATGCAGTCATGATGAACAGCAGTTAATTTGCCAAAACCCATAGATTGTGAACAGAGTCAGCCCTAATGTAAAGTGTGGACTTTGATTGTTAACAGAGTCAGCCCTAATGTAAAGTGTGAATTTTGAGGCATCAATACTGGTAGGTCAATTAGATGGATTCAAGTAATACAAAACATAAAAAGGACAGACCACATGGAGGCGGAGCGGTCAAGTGGAAACACTATACTTTCCCATCAATTTTTCTATAAGTCTAAAAATAAAGTCTACAAAAATAAAGTCTATTTGAAAAAGAAAAATAGATGAAGACAGACAATTCGCTCCATGACTGGTTGATGAATGAAACTTGTAACCTTTCACTCAATTCATGAATTTTATTTTAGTAGGCCTTTCCGGTGCTTTCTGAGCCAGAGACTGGTAAAGGCAATGAAACTTCCATAGAATGCCTTGTTCAAAAGCCCATCACTCTAAAGAAGTGAAATAAGAGACTTGATTAGTATCAGCAGTGTCTAGAACTCTGGCATGCATAAGGAGTATCCACGTGGAGCCTTGGATTGTGGGGTTACCCTAGGTAGAGGTGTGTATTATTTTGACTTATATGGCTACCTGTGAGGTTAAAAAAAAGATTCCCAGAGTTTTGTGGGGTTTTTTTTTCTTCCTTTGAGAAGAATTCTCGCTCTGTTGCCCAGGCTGGAGTGCAGTGGTGCGATCTCAGCTCACTGCAACCTCTGCCTTCCGGGTTCAAGCAATTCTCCTGCCTCGGTTTCCTGAACAGCTGGGACTACAGATGTGAGCCACCACACCTGGCTAATTTTTTTGCATTTTTGGTAGAGATGGGGTTTCACCATGTTGGCCAGGCTGGTCTCAAACTCCTGATCTCAAATGATCCACCTGCCTAAGCCTCCCAAAGTGCTGGGATTACAGGCATGAGCCACCACACCTGGCCTCTAAAAAATAAAAAAAAAAATTTAAAAGTGAAGGGAATCATCAGGTAAGTCACTGTTGAAAAGGGACTTACCAAAACTGATAGCTGAGTATTTACCAGTGCTGATTAGATGGAGCCAGTTACTGCCAGAATGTTGGAGACTGGGTGTGGGGCACAACCACATCGTCAAGGTTGCAGTAACCCACCACGAGACACCATTTATTCTTCCAGGTTTAAGAACAGGACAAATTGGGCTATTAAGACAAGAAGCACCGGGAATAACAGCTCTTCACTAAATAGGTCTTGTACAATGGGTTTCAATCCTTGAAGACTCTGTTTAATTGACATTTGGCCATATTAAGGACTTTAACTGGGGAGTAGGGGTGGTAAGATCCCTGGGATTCTTTTTTTTTAATTTTTTTTTCTTTTTTTTTTTAATATAAAGATGGGGTTTCACTGTGTTGATCAGGCTGGTCTTGAACTCCCGACCTCCCGACCTCAGGTGATCCGCCCACCTTGGCCTCCAAAGTGCTTGGATTACAGGCGGGAGCCACCACGCCCAGCCTGGGGTTCTATTTTGTTAAGGCAATTTGTAACCGCCAAAGAGTTAATTTAAATTATGGTGGCTCACACCTATAATCCTAGTGCTTTGGGAGGCTGAGGTGGGCAGATCACTTGAAGTCAGGACTTCAAGACCAGCCTGGCCAACATGGTGAAACCCCACCTCTATTAAAAAATACAAAAAATTAGCCAGGCATGGTAGCAGCCACCGGTAATCCCGGCTACTCAGGAGGTTCATGCAGGACAAATCGCTTGAACTTGGAAGGCAGAGGCTGCAGTGAGCTGATTATGACACCACTGCACTCCCGCCAGGCGACCGACTGAGAGTCTGTCTCAGCACTCCCGCCTGGGCAACAGAGCAAGACTCCATCTCAAAATAAATAAATAAATAAATTATAGGGTATACCTTGCTTACATTTAGTGGGATCCTCAGATATAATTGATTCCTAGGATTGATTAATCCCATCAAGGGTTGTCAGTTAGTGCATTACAGAGATGTTAAAATTAATTCAGGCTGGGCGCAGTGGCTCACACCTTGTAATCCCAACACTTTGGGAGGCCGAGGTGGGTGGATCACGAGGTCAGGAGTTCAAGACCAGCCTGGTCAATATGGTGAAACCCTGTCTCTACTAAAAATACAAAAATTAGTCGGGTGCGGTAGTGCACACCTGTACTCCCAGCTAAACGGGAGGCTGAGGCAGAAGAATCACTTGAACCTGGGAGGTGGAGGTTACGATGAGTCGAGATTGCACCACTGCACTCCACGTGGGCAACAGAGTGAGACTCTTCTCTAAATAAATAAATAAACAAATAAATAATTCAGAACCAGGCTGAGCCTTGTGGTTTATGCCTATAATCCCAGCACCTTGGGAGGCCAAGGAAGGATTATTGCTGGAGCACAGGAGGGTGAAACCAGAAATATATATATATATAGATATATAATTTTTAAAACAATAAAATTCAGAACCAATGTCAGAGAGGCCTAAAAGCCATGAATGTGCAATGTCCTTTTTTTTTTTTTTAGTTGCATAGTTCTTTTACTATGTTTTGGATTTCCAATTAGGTCAAAACGTAGAAAAATGCTTCATTTTTCTTTTTTTTTTGTAGGGAAAGGGAGGAGCAGGTGAGCGGGTGAGAGGAAGGAAGGAAGGAAGGAAGGAAGGAAGGAAGGAAGGAAGGAAGGAAGGAAGGAAGGAAGCTTCGTTTTTCTTTTGTTCCCTTCTTCTTTCATCCTTCTCTGTTTTGTTTCTGTGGTCACTTGATATACTTCCAGGAAGAAAGGTTATCTTCCTACCTTAATATTTATTAATATATATTTTTTTCCTCCAGAGAACCTCAAATCGTAATCATCAGGGTTATGGGCTTCACCCATGACACTGCTGGCAATAGAAGGTTTCAGGGCTGAGTGGGGTGACTCTCATCTGTAATTCCAGCACTTTCGGAGGCCGATGCAGGCTTGGTTTCAGGAGTTTAAGACCAGCCTGGCCAGCAGTCCCACCTCCACTAATAATACAAAAATTAGCCGGGTCTGGTGACAGGCACCAGTAATCCCAGCTACTCAGGAGGCTGAGGCAGGAAGAACTGCTCAAACCCGGGAGGCAGAGGTTGCCATGAGCTGAGATCATGCCACTGCACTCCAGCCTGCGCAACAGAGCAAGATTGTGTCAAGGAAAAAAAAAAAAAAAGGAAAAAGAAAAAAAGGTGGTTTGGGCCACCACAGCAGCTCACACCTATAATCCCAGTACTTTAGAAGGCTGAGGCAAGTGAATCACTTGAGGCCAGGAGTTCGAGAACAGCCTGGTCATCTAAAGGTAATATCATCTCTATTAAAAATAATAAAACAGGCCGGGTGTGGTGGCACATGCCTGTAATCCCAGCTACTCGGGAGGCTGAGGCATGAGTGTTGCTTCAACCTGAGAGGTAGGGGTTGCAGTGAGCCGAGATGGCATCACTGCATTCCAGACTGGGCACAGAGCAAGAATCTGTCTACAAAAAAAAAAAAAAAAAAAAACGCCCGGGCGCGGTGGCTCACGCCAGTAATTCTAGCACTTTGGGAGGCCAAGGAAGGTGGATTGCCTGAGCTCAGGAGTTAAAGACCAGCCTGGGGCACACTGTAAAACCCTGTCTCTACTAAAAATACAAAAAATTAGCCTGGTGTGGCAGCATGCGCCTGTAATGCCAGCTACTCGGGAAGCTGAGACAGGAGCATTGCTTGAACCTGGGAGGTGGAGGCTGCAGTGAGCCTAGATCATGCCATTGCACTCCAGCCTGGGCAACAGAACCAGACTCCGTCTCAAAAAAGAAAAAGTGATTTGATCAAGGAATCCAAAGGAAAGAAACGCAAATGTTCTAATCTGTTTAGATAAGAAATTGCCTCTCCACCGTTAATATGGAAAACCCACAATCAAACGGTAAATACATTCACAAAGGCCAGGCATGATCACACCAAGGCAAGAGAATCCTGACGCCAGGCATTTGAGACTAGCATGAGCAACACAGCAAGATCTTGCGTCTACACAGTAAAAATTTAAAATTAGCCAGTAGTGGCAGGTGCCTGTAGTCCCAGCTACTCAGGAGGCTGAGGCGGGAGGATCACTTGAGTCCCAGTGTTTGAGGATGCAGTAAGGCTTGATGGCACCACTGCACTTAAGCCTGGGCGACACAGCGAGACCCTGTCTCAAAAACAAATTCCCAAACTTGAGAGCGGCAACCCAGACAGTGGGTCCGTGCCTGGTGATGACAGCAGGGGCATCTGGGCAGCCACAGGAACGAACTCTAGGAGCTCCACGCTCGCCCTCCTCTCCCTTGGCGGCAAAATAAAATGCTCCCTCCTCCAGGCTTCAATTCTCACAGGCGGATTCACCTTAGCGTTCTGACCAAATGGGTTCTCAAACGCACAAACCCCACACCCGAGTGGAGATTCCCCCTCATGACTTTCCCGTGGCCCCCCGCACAATCTTGGGAGACGCGAGGCTGCGGGCTCGCAACTGCTCGGAAAGGGCTCCGGGGCTGGGGCCGCAACCGCAGGGGCGGGACAGGACGCCTGAGGTCCCAGCTGCCGGCCCAGCCCTAACCTGCTGGGAGACCCTCGCGTGTCCTGGCCAGAGCTGCGCCACGGGGACTCGGGTCCAGCCACAGCCGGTTCCGACAAGCCCCCTCCTTAGGTCTCGGGACTTCCGGCCCCGAACACTCACCATTTCTCGGCTTAAGGAGGCTCCAGGAGTCCTCCCTATGGATCTCTCACTACCTGTAGGTCCCAGGACGACAAAGGGTATGCAACACCTCAGAGTCTTCCGCGGAGGATGAGACGCAACCCGAGTGAACCGCTACAACGAGGATGTTCACACGCCCAAGCAGCGCTAGGGTCCACGCCCCTTTCCAGCAGAGATGCTGATCGGACAGTTTGTGGGGCCCCGCCCCTTCACCGCAGGGTGACAGTCATGCCGGAGAGCATGTCGTTGAGCCAAGCTCCGTAGTTAGAGTGGGTTTTCCCTGCGGGGATATTTCCATGCGAACCCAACTTTGTTCTTTGCCCTAGGTCCATTTTTAAGTGGCCTATTCAGTAGTGTTAAGTGTAGTTACATTGTGAAACCAATCTCTAGAAATGATTTCCTCTTGCAAATTTGAGACTTTTAATGATTGAATGACATCCCATTTACCGCTCACCCCCAGCCCCTCCCACCCACTATTCTACACTATTCTACTTTTTGATTGTATGAAGTTCACTGTGGGTACCTCATACCAGTGGAATTATTCTGTATTTGTCTTTTACTGACTGTTTTATTTCACTTAGCATAATATCCTCAATCTTCATCACGTTGTTGCCCAAAGTGCTGGGATTACAGGCGTGAGCCACGTGGACAAAAGTCAATTGTCCAGTACTGCCAAGGAGAGCAACAGATGTAATACCCTGCATTTTGCCAGCTAAAACTATCTCTTTCTCAGACTAAAAGCTGTTCAGGCCTTATGTTAGCTTCTTGAGCCGCACAGACTCCATCTTAGCTTCTTCACATTAGCTATTTTCCCACCATTCAGTATGTAACTCTAGTATGTAGCTGGGGCAGGCTGACACCGGGCACCTCCAGGAATGCATTTGTTCGTAAGAGGCCGGGTTAAGTGGTACCAGCAGAGCCTGGGAATGCAGGTGCTGTCCAGCGCCCAGAGCCCCATTATCTACAAGTTGTATGTCTTTCAGGACAACTTTACCCCTCACACTTGGCACTGTTTTATTTCTCCTGTACTAGTTTACCTTTTAATTTTTTGCTTACTCTGCTTTTGTGAAAAAGTTGCTTCAGCTAGGTTCCCCCTCCCCTTCAAAACGAGAGTATAAAAGACCACCTAACTTTTTCTTAGGGGCCGAGAGAATTTTGGGCGTTAGCCACCTCTGGGTCGCAGGCATAATAAAGGACTCATAATTCAATCTCGGAGTGTGGTGCATTCCTTGACTCGCAAGGGTACAACAAAGGGTTCGCTCATACATCCGCTTTGCATTTTGGTTGAGATAGGTTTCAAGTTGGTTTTAAGACTGTTCTGCCTGTGTGTACTCGCCCCTTGTTTGTCCGAAATCTGTCTCCACTGTCCCTTTTGATACCACATAAACTTGAAAATGGGAGGGATTGGGCACATTCCCGCTAAGAATCCTCTGGGAAGGAAAAAGAATTTTTTTTTAAGAAGCTCAATGGTTAACCAACTCCTATCCTTAAGCTGGGCGCGGTGGCTCACACCTGTAATCCCAGCACTTTGGGAGGCCAAGGTGAGCAGATTACCTGAGGAGAGGAGTTCTCGACCAGGCTAGGCACCACAGTGAAACTCCGTCTCTACAAAAACACACACAAAATTAGCCAGGTGTAGTGACATGTGCCTGTAGTCCCAGCTACTCAGGAGGCTGAGGCAGGAGAATTGCTTGAACCCAGATGGCAGAGATTGCAATGAATATTTTGGCTCACGGCCAAAATACTGCAGTCTGGGTGACAGAGTGAGACTCTGTCTCAAAACAAAAGAAAAAAAAAAAAAGGCAGCTTAATTAAAAGCTAACATCCAGTTGGGCTCGGTGGCTCAGGCCTGTAATCCCAGCACTTTGGGAGGCTGAGGCGGGCATATCACCTGAGGTTGTGAGTTCAAGACCAGCCTGACCAACATGGAGAAACACCCCTACCCCGAGCAAAAATACAAAATTAGCCAGGTGTGGTGGCAGGTGCCTGTAATCTCAGCTACTCAGGAGCCTGAGGCAGGAGAATCACTTGAATCTGGGAGGTTTCAGTGAGCTGAGATTGGGACACTGCACTCCAGCCTGGGTTACAAAGCAAAACTCTGTCCCCACCCCCTACAAAAAAAAGGCCAGCTACAGTGTCTAACACCTGTAATCCCAGCACTTTCGGAGGCTGAGGCGGGTGTATCCCGAGGTCAGGAGTTTGAGACCAGCCTGACCAACACAGTGAAACCCCATCTTTAAAAACAAACAAAAAAAAAGCTAACATCCAAGATGTGTGTGTTGGGGGGTATCTAAAAGAACTTCATGTCTTTTTTTGTTTCTTTCTCTCCTAAGACATTGTCTTTTAGAGCAAAAGTATCTTTCTTCTCAGTTGACTGAATTCTGTTTTCTTCATTAATAGCTATTGCAACAGAAGCTACTAAGGTTTTTTGTTTTTTTTTTTTTTTGAGACGGAGTTTTGCTCTTGTTACCCAGGCTGGAGTGCAATGGCGTGATCTCGGCTCGCCCCAACCTCCGCCTCCTGGGTTCAGGCAATTCTCCTGCCTCAGCCTCCTGAGTAGCTGGGATTACAGGCACGTGCCACCATGCCCAGCTAATTTTTTGTATTTTTAGTAGAGACAGGGTTTCACCATGTTGACCAGGATGGTCTCGATCTCTTGACCTTGTGATCCACCCACCTCGGCCTCCCAGAGTGCTGGGATTACAGGCGTGAGCCACCGCGCCCGGCTGCTACTCAGGTTTTTAAGAAAAAATACAGTTTAGACACTGAGAAATGTCTTTGGAAAAAAAATTAAGTGCACTGTAAAAGCATCACATGGTCTAGCCTTATAATAATTCTCCCTTTTTAAAAATCTAGGATTCTTCCGGGCATGGTGGCTCACACCTGTAATCCCAGAATTTTGGGAGGCCTAGGTGGGTGGATAACAAGGTCAGGAGTTGGAGACCAGCCTGGCCAACATGATGAAACCCCATCTCTACTAAAAATACAAAAAGTAGCCGGGAATGGTGGCGGGCACCTGCGATCCCAGCTATTCGGAAGGCTGAGGCAGGAGAATTGCTTGAACCTGGGAGGAAGAGGTTGCAGTGAGACAAGATCATGCCACTGCACTCCAGCCTGGACAACAAAGCAAGACTCCATCTCAGAAACAAACAAAAAAAACCTAGGATTCAGTATGGTTCCTTATAGAATCCTATGATAGATTTCTATAATTTTATGTTTCATCTAGCATCCGTCTTTTTTCTTTTTTTTTTTTTTGATACAGAGTCTCACTGGAGTGCAGTGGTGTGATCTTGGCTCACTGCAACCTCTGCCTTCTGGGTTCAAGCGATTCTCCTGCCTCAGCCTCCTAAGTAACAGGCATGCGCGACCATGCCCAGCTAATTTTAATTTTTGTATTTTTAGTAGAGATGGGGACTACAGGCACACACCAACAGGCCTGGGTAATTTTTTTGTATTTTAGTAGAGACAGGGTTTCACCATGTTGGCCAGGATCCATCTCTTTACCTCGTGATCCACCCAAAGTGCTGGGATTACAGGCGTTAGCCACTGGCCAGCATCCATCTTTAATCTCCCTCTAGCACCGCCAGACTTTTTCTCTCTGTACCTCGAAATGTAAATTTTGCTATCTGATTTTTCACCTAAGAGTAGTTTCCTTCAATATGCAGACTCACAGCTATTTAGCTGACAACTGCCAGGGTAATAAACCAGGTTATCAAGAGTTTGCAGGTCTAAAATAGGGAGAAAAAAAAAAGGATGTCTTATGAACCTATAAAATGCACTTCTAGCTGGCAGTGGCTCACTCCTGTAATCCCAGCACTTTGGGAGGCTGTGGCAAGCAGATCATGAGGTCAGGAGATCAAGACCATCCTGGCAAACACGGTGAAACCCCATCTCTAAAAAAATTAGCTGGGCGTGGTGGCACATGACTGTAGTCCCAGTTACTCAGGAGGCTGAAGCAGGAGAATCCCTTGAACCTGGAGGCAGAGGTTGAAGTGAGCCAAGATCACACCGCTGCACTCCAGCCTGGGCAACAGAGCAAGACACCATCTCAAAAAGAAAAAAAGGACTTCTTCTGGCTGGGCACTGTGGCTCATGCCTGTAAGCCCAGCTCTTAGGGAGGCAGAGGCAGAAGGATAGCTTGAGCCCAGGAGTTCAAGACCTGCCTGGGTGATATAGTGAGACCTTGGTCTCCACGAAAAAGAAAAAAACAAAAAGACCAAAAAAAAAAAAAAGAGTACTTATATGGCATGCCTAATAGGTCTGTGTATTTATGTGTTGTATTCACAGTGTTTCACAACTGAAAAAATAAAAAGAGCTCTAATTAATTGGCTTAAAAAATAAAAGCACTTAAATACTTTCACAGAAAAAAAGAAGAGTAGTAAAAAGAAGAGTAGTTAAATACTTTTTCAAGTTTACGTGACTTAACTACAAGCTTTAATAAATAATCTAGCTTTAAGGTTACTGGCAAAGTAATATTAAAAATGTCTTGGCCGGGCGCGGTGGCTCACCCCTCTAATCCCAGCACTTTGGGAGGCCAAGGTGGGCGGGTCACAAGGTCAGGAGATCGAGACCAGCCTGACCAACATGGTGAAATCCCGTCTCTACTAAAAATACAAAAAAATTTTGCCAAGCATGGTGGTGTGCGCCTGTAATCCCAGGTACTTAGGAGGCTGAGACAGGAGAATAACTTGAACTCAGGAGGCAGAGGTTGCAGTGAGCCAAGATCACACCACTGCACTCTAGCCTGCGTGACAGAGCAAGACTCTGTCTCAAAAAAAAAAAAAAAAAAGAAGGAAATGTCTTAAGAATTGCCAGCATACATTTTTCTTCGCATTTACTGACCAAACAATTTCATACTTCTCCCTGCCAAACACAATAAGGTGTCAACATTTGGCATGGAGACTACAAAACTATGAACTCAGCCCAAAACAGAATGATCTTTGCTTGTGTACTTTTTAATAAATAAAACATTAATATTCATAGCTACATCTTAAATTATTTAGTAAAATACCACAACTTCTAATCTTGTGGCTTTAGGCAGTCTATATAAAATAAAGGAGGTTTGTTATTATCATCTTTGCTTCAAAGTTAAACTATAAACTAAGTTAACGAACAAGGACAGTTTGGAGGTTAGAAGCAAGATGGAGTCAGTTAGGTCAGATCGTTTTCATTGTCTCAGTTATTTTGCAATGCTTTTTTCATAACTTTAAATGGTGACCATCGCAGTTTTCATAAATAATCTAGGTAAACAATTAAATAATTAGGTAAGTGTAATGGAATAAATACTCATAAACAACTTGTCATTATTTATTTATTTAGTTATTTATTTTTGAGACAGAGTCTCACTCTGTTGCCCAGTCAGGAGTGCAATGATGTGGCTCACTGCAACCTCTGCCTCCCAGGTTCAAGCAATTCTCGTG